ATGTATAATGAGCTGCACTAAACTACATTTTAGCATTTAAAATACCTAGCCATTCTTTTGCGGTTATTTTGGTGAAAGTATCTCAAAAGTAACTAAAAAGCAGTGTAACTCATTACATTTCAGAGACAGTAATATTGTAATGTAACTTATTACTTTCAAAAGAGAGTAATAAGTAATATGTAATATATTACATTTTGGAAGTAACTTGCCCAACACTGGTTATTATATAATTTTAACTTGAAACGGGTCACGGGAGACCAGAACACAACATAAGGGTTGAACAAGCTTATTGCATGAGAGTGATCATCTTGTTTCTTTTCTGTTTATCTAATCAGGTAAAAGTCTGATTTACAAATTTGGTAAAAAGTCAATTACAATAGGACATAAATATTGTCAAATGTCTGTTGGATGTTCTTGTCAGTACGCTTGCATGTTTGCCATAATAATTTGATAATCTCAAATAAAAATCTCATCTTGATTATGTTATCGAAAGATCTGCCCCTTATTGACAAAAAAAACAAAAACACTCAAAAACACAAAAAAACACTCAAAAAACAAACAAACTCAATCTCATGTTTTCACGAAGTTGAACATCCATTATTTTTAGCCACTGAGAAAACATGTTTTTCCATTAAATATACCCAAACTCTAAAAACTCTCAAACTCTTACAGCTGTTACCTGTAGTATATGTTCTGCTGTTTTACAGGCAATTCGACAATTTCAATATCAAGAGAGCCACATAATGTTGACAAAGTCTCTAATCTGTTGTTATAAATGTCAATGGGTTTTTTAATGAAGTTTTCCCTCTTCTGGAACAAAACCCAGATGGCTCTTTATAATGGCAGGAGTAAATATCTTTGCTGTATAAACTCACTTGTACTTTTTTTTTATCTCGATTTGCAGTTAAGTAAACGACATAAAGGTTTACAACTCGTCAAATGAAAACAGACATTTTAATTGCTTATGTGTGTGGAGGAACTGCCCTTGCTTGTGTCAGCTTTTTTCTTGAGTTGTCAGATACATTGACCTCATGATAATTACCCATTGACAGGCTGTGTAAACTCTCGATACTACACGTGTGAGATCTGCCTTTTTATGCCCTCTCGGTCGGCCACACACAAAATAACATACTGCAGAGTGTGAAGAACATTAACCAATCCATCTTCATCTTTTTTAAAGGGAAATTGGGGAAATTGACCGTGAACTTTTGCAGTACAACCTAAAACACACAAGCAAAAGACAGGTTTGTTTATCCCAGGACTGAAGTATCCTATATGTTGGTGTGAAAGTCCATAAGGTGATGATTAAGCACAAAAAAAGCATTCTGCCTCCACAACCTTGGGGCTTGCTGTGGTTGTTTAGAATTGTTGACAGCTCTGTTTCCTGTCCTCTGCACCTCCAGTTGTCCTGAGCACATATGGTTTGCCCTCCTCGCTACATGCCTGGCCTCGGCTGAGAGGCCGAGGCTTACATGGCTCAGTGGAGGTTCCTGACCCATGTGGTGCTACTGTCCATCTCTGGAAAAGGGTCATCTACTTCCACAACTTTCTAATGAAGCACAAAGAGAGTCATTGGTTTGCTTATATTTGCCAAGAATAGTGAATAAATCTCTGAGATGCAGTCTAGATGCTGAAGTAAACATAGGAGGACTTATTTGATCAGCCTTGACCCTTTTCCCAGTTGAGAATTACACTTTCAGGAAACCCTATCTACTTTCCAAAGCCGGCGTCATTTGAAGAACATGTTTTTTTGAACTTTTTTCAGCGTTCCTCATTCCTCTTAGGTCGCCAGACATCTCTTCTGGTTTCCATTTGTTTTAAGTTATTAGCGCTCATGACCTGATAAGGGAGTGGTTGGAGGAGCGCAAACATCCGTCTCCGACTACATCCGTCATCGTCCACATGTGTTTGACTTGAGCAATAATATCCGCTCCTGGAAAGGTTTGACTCAAAGGCCCGGAGGTGAAACTACCGCTGTGTAGACGCGTTTATGTAATCCTTGACGAAGGTTTGAAAATGATGTGTGCTGGTTTGTTCACTAAATATATTCCATTTTAATAAACGTCTTGGACAACCAGCAGCATTGTTCAGCACTTTGACTGCCTATATGCAACGGAGCAGAAACACAACACTTAAAGACTTTTATAGGAGTTGGTTTTTGGCATGTGAGATAAAGTACCTCACATGCTATGAATGTCACCTCAAGTCAGTTTCCACTCTTGGTTCTTTGCAGTCAACAGAAGAGACTCGCTTGCTTTTGTAAGACGGATCCCACTGGCGAAAAACCCACATTAGTCAAGGAGCTCTTTATTTGCAAATGATATACAGTCTATTTAATTTGTCTGTCTCTTCTGCATTTGGCAGAATATCAGTTAGGGCTGTGTTGACAATGAAGACATTGAAGTGGTTGCCTTTTAGCCAACTTTCTGGCTGTGCGCAGGACAATAAAGCTTGCTCTGCACAAAGCTGAAATTAGATATTTTACCGTTCCATTATATGAGTTCAAAGGAGGATACATGCATTTATGAGTTATATTGAAGACGTGGCGAGGTGGAGATTCTCTATGCAGTGGAACAGGAAATAGCTTTGTTAGGAAACAGTGATTCTCTTTAGGAATGTTCAGTTTAAAAGCAAGGTTCACAAAGTGGGACTTAAGGCATGTTCAACACAATGATGGTAGAAGTATTCAGATCATTTATTTGAGTAAAGGTACAAATAGCACACTGTGAAATACTCCAATACCAGCACAAATATTTTGCATTCAGAACCTACCTTAAGTAAAATGATGTAACTATTATTATTATTACAGTGCTGCATGTGTTTAAGATTGTGCTAATTCATTTATATACACCGTTGGGTAGTTTGATCTACAGAAATGTATCATATTCTATAAGACCATCATATGTTTATATCCTCAGTGTCCTGTAAGGACTACATATCTCTAAAAGGTTCTCTCAGAAAAAACGATCTGTTTTCAGCTTAGTGATGATGCATTTTCCAGGTGATCCATGCAGGTTTTTAAATAGTTTATTTAACTTAAGATGTTGGGAGGATTTGGTTCACAGAACAGGAAGGGTGTGAGAGATCTGCAGAGAAACTAAAGATGTCAGAATAACAGTAGTAGCAAAAGTGGAAGTCCTCAAGTAAATGTACTTTCTGACATTTAACCACTAATTCAATCGGATAAACAGTGTCATTTGTAATCTCATACGGGGCAATCCTATTATTTCTGACCCTCCCATCCAGACATTTATTTTGTTCAGAATGTTAGTTCTATAAATATTCCTTATAGGAGGCATGAGTCAACGAGGCTGTGTTTGCAAACTCTTGGCGATGTGTGTACCTAATCCCGCTCTGTTTCTTACACTTGTAACAGAGCAGGGGTCCTCTGGGACTTCTGCACCTGGTATTCTACACACAGTCAATGACACTTACATGGGGCTTGAGCATAGTGTCTATATTTGTGGGAATAGATCATACGTGACTTCTCGTGCAACTCCCCAGGTCTGTGAGGGTCACCAGGGGGTCACTGTGTGTGCAAACAGTAACACAGGGCAGATGCTTTGTCAGCGTCAATATATTAAAAAGGTATTGTTAATGCATTGAAGTATGTGTTCCTGTCTTTCTTGGGAACCTTTTAGTTGCCAGAGTAAAATCACGGCATGTCTGTTCTCTCTTAGAATACAGAGCTTTAAAATGACATAATGAGTGCACATTATGGATGATGTAGTGAAATTGAATATCTACTGTTCGCCATTGGCACGACAAAATACGGGCTCTCGGCCACAGTTGCCACAGTGATTTTCTGTGTTGTGTTTATTCTCAGTTTATTTGGTGCTCTATGGGAGCCCTTGTGCTGGTAATTAAAAATACCATTTGCATATAAAAGTCAGCATAAACACCTCATTTAACTGTGGTAAGTTTGTCTGTGCCTGGATTCAATCCAGTTTGAGTGAAAGACAAAAGTTGGTTGGGCTGTTGGCAAGTGAACTCTAAATATTACAAGCATCCACAAAGACGGATATGTTCTGAACTCTCAAACTCGCAGCGTATTGGGCCAGAAGCAGTGAGGGAGGAGAGGAATGATGTTGAGTGATGACTATGGCTCATATCCACCCTCATAAACAAAGAAATGGAGATGGCAAAAGGGAAGATTCTTCTTCTTTTGCAAAGCTGTGCAGACACTTTGAACAATGGCAAACCTTAACTTACTTATTGACTGAATTTCCTTGCACGGATAGAGATTTTTTTCCAGGAATACACGGCAAAGTATTACTTTACGCCTTATTTAGAAACAAATGCACTTTATAAACAATTAATACACTTAAAATTACACTAGTTAGAAGCAAATATAAAAGGACATTTTCTGAGTGTATTAATATACAGTATTTGCCAACAGTTATAGCTTCAAAGATCAAAGCATATTCTATTTTATTAAAACTGTTATAACTTTATGTTTACACATTGGGGGAAAAAAGTACTAAGAACTTTAAGTAAAAGCAGCAATACCACATAAATATTGTGGTACAAGTAAAAGTATTTGCATTAAATACGTCCCATTTAAAAATAATGTTTATTACTGGATCCTAATTATTGAATCAATATTGTGGTGGTGAAAGTGGAGCTTGTTTTTTATTACTTTCTTTACTATACTTTTTTCTATTTCTTTAATAGCTTAATCCATAATAATGGATAATTTATAGGTGGATTATATTTAGTTTTATGTTTCTAACCCTGCAAAATAAAGCTGTCAAAATAAAACATACAGCAATTGTTTTAGAAGAAGTATAAAGTAGCATATATTAAAAAAAACGTAAGTAAAGTACAAGTACCTCAAATTTGCACATAACTTCAGTCAATCACATGGATGCTTCAAAGTACAAATACATTGAATACACTTATATCTGCTTACAACCACATAGTAGTGTGTTAAATCCAGTTGGTTGGGGATTCAGATGGGAAAAATAACAGATAAGCCAGCTTTTTCAAATATATCTGCCTTTACTTTATTCATGTTCTGTACATTATTTCATTTTCAAAGTCTCTATCATACTATATGACAATAATGGCTATCATTTACTACAAAAGGTTGCATAAATAATTTAAATGTGAAATAAAAAATAAATATGCAGTTAATTCTTTGTAACAGTCCTTCTTTAGTGTCTGTAGAAACCAGCCCCCCACCCCGTCCCCCCACTGCAGCGGACCACACAGGTATGATATGTACAATCCCAGCTCTCAGCTTACACCACAAACCCCTTCCAGTTGCTATTCCAAAACATACAATCGGGAAAAGAAGCAAACATTGTCGGTACAGTTAAGACAACCATACAAAAATCAGGAAGCAATAGAAGCGGAATGACTATATGTGGAAACATTGTGAATATTCTTCATGGAGAACAGTCCCCATTGCTGAGGAAGGAGGTTGTGACAGACCGGGGGTCAGATTTTTATCAGAATTATTGTTCTCATTATGTTATGTGTATTCCTATCTTTCCTGTTGGAGCTATTTACAGTATGGGAGCGGACACAAACGAATGGATTTTGGCTGTGGATGCTTGATCGCTGCTCTATTTGGCCCTTTACAAAAGAATTCCGGTGTGTGTGGGCGTGCTGGAGAAGAGCTCTGCCCTTAGGTAACAACGCAACCATGCTCTACTTTCTGATGCCTCCTACACACACACATGTGCACTTTTTTTGTTCTGTGTGTGTTTCCAGCAAACAGGAACTGGCTGGAGGAAATGGCTTTTTATGACTCGAAACAACACAGGAATAGGCTCATTTAGTAATTAAGGAGTCACAGGAATGTCCCCGTAGTGTCAAAACTGCTTAATTTCTCTGTCTCTCCTCACTCTGCATCTGGCTGTGGGGAAGGTTACTGCGACTGACAGGCCTGGAAGAGTGCTGTGGGGCTATCCCGATGAGTAAGGCCTTTAGTGAGCTGCCTGCACCGCTGCACAGAAACCTGTCAACATCAGAGCCCCAAGAGCTGCCACCATCTCCTCCACACACGCACAGCCAAAAAGGAGATGGATTACAACCACTTTGGGGCGAAGATACACCTTTTCAGCTTTAAAAAACATTGCTCTGCATCCGCTGGATGTTTGTACAGATGGGCTGGAAGCCTTCGGGGAGGACTTCTCATTAAATGAAATCTGTTTGTGTGCAGGACACAAACCAAAAGAGGCTTGAGCTGTTGGGGCGATTAGATACTTTTTATCCAACATAGTGCTACATCTGTGGCAAGCCCCCTGGCAGTGACTAACTTTGTCATGCAAATAAGCAGCCGAGTTCACAAATACATTGAAAAAATGAAGACTGATGACTTAAAAAACCAGTCCAAAAATTAGCTTATGAATTTGCTCTCTTTGATATTTCTCCTCCCTAGTTGAAGGAGACGTTGTTGAATGGTGTGTTGTGTAACGTGTGTGTGTGCTTTGGTGTTTGTCCTTTGGAAGAGCATCAGTACGAGTTTCCCATCAGTGTCGGCGTGTTGTTCTTGTTCCGGACTTGAGACAAGCGACTGTGCTTCTTGTTGCGTTTTGGCACCTCTTTGAGCTCTGATTTGTTGTGGTGGGGCCTGAAGCGCTTGCACTTGCAGGAGGTAACCACGCGTATTTTGTAAGTCCGAGTGTTGCCGTTGGGACAGTGCAGCTGCACCCTCCTAGTCCTGGAGTGGGCCGGGATGCAGCGGTAGTCTGTGGTGCTGCCCCTCCACCACTTCCCACGGCCGATGGAGTTGGGCATGAGGTGTGCGGGCATGCACTGGCCCGAACACACCAGCTCCTTCACGGGCTTAGCACTGCGGCAAGATCCGTCCGTAATGTAACGGGTGGAGCGCAACTCCCTGCAGCTCAACTCCGAGGCACCTGGAATGGAAGAGCAGAATATCACAGTTACACTCGTGGCTTCAGCCCAAAACACAGACTTTGAAGTTCTGCACACTGTAAATGACATTCTGCAGGTTGACCGCCCTAATGCTGCAGCTGTGTCCGACTCCAATATGTGCTAACATCTCTCCGATTCTGTCAACATTAGGTCACCCATTCTGTTTTGTGTAAGTCAAACTGCAGTTCAATCCTGACATTTTATGAGACACAAAAGTGCAGCCGAAAAATGCACTTTTATATACCCAACTTAATGTAACAATTTGTACATTTAAGAGTAGATTTGAGAGATCATATCAGGGTTTCCCAAATTTAGTCATGGTCTGATCATTAGCCGATGACGGGTTTTGACAAGGAGATCCAGCTGGCAGCAATCAGCTGATAGCATATCCAGACCAGAGGCCATTAAACAGCTCAATCAAACTTAATGTAGGTTTGGGCTGGAAGGAAAGCTGGCATTCAGCGTTGGCCCTCAGGAAATGTATGTGGTGATGGAGGAGTAAATAGCTGTCTGGTTATTTTAAAGTAAGTGTACGGTTTTGGACAAACTGGACATCTGCCAGACTGATTTGAGAAAACACACTCCCGACTGTAATCCCATGTTTCGGCCGCAGCCTTTTAACAGCCGTATTCATGAGTTATTGTCCTGCAAGTTTTTTGTTTTTTACAAGCAGTGTGTAAAGACTGGGCAGAGGAACTGTCGGTTTAGAAATGATACACTCCGAGAGGGATCTGTTTTTCTCTGTGGCTTTCTTTGCAAAAAAAGGGCTGAACAAAGGATGAGGTGACTCTTTTTTTTCCTCTGCACGAGAACCTGATCTGATGTTATTCTGTGGTTGCCACTGAAGGGACCACAGTAGTATACAATGACTACACTGGGCAGCAGTTCGCAATAATTACCACCATAACCCAGAAAGTCAGGTTGTCTTGTTCGGTCTCTCTGTGCCTTTTCCCTACATTTCCTGTTCTCCTCTCCACTATAAACCTGAAAAAAATCATTACTAATGATGGAGGCCTGCACACTGGACTACTGTACAGTTGCGTGCGCTGTTGCTCTCCCTCGGCGGTAAAAGAGCAGCCCTGGGAGAGGAGTGTAGGGAGGCCAGGCAGTGGTCCAAAGTCCCTGCTGTGACCCCACAGGGACCACGAGCAGGACGTCCTGGGACAACACCGAGTGATGAATGACGAAAATAATCCAAGAGATTTCTGTCTCCGAGTGAACCACAACACATAGGTGCTTATCCAGATGAAAACACAGGGATGCACTTTTCCAGCTATATTTTGGAGACTGCGGTTCATTATGTGGATTGGTTATAAACATTTGGGAAGCCCACTTTAGTCGATAAGACTTGTTCAGTAATTTGTAAAGCTATTTTTATACTGAATTTAAATAGACATTTGGTGATTTTGCAGTAATCTTTGTGAAATAAACTAATTGATTAGTTACGAGTACGAGTGTTAGCCGTCTAAGATTTTCTTAAGGACAGCCCGATAATATACTCAGACAACGTATCCGTTATTCTTTTAATCCAACAAATCATCTTCTTCTCCAGTGCCCGTGATTAAATCTTTGAGAACATTGCACTACCCATCTTGAATGCATGAGTGTGAGATTATTGTACATGCACCACTCGATCAGAACATACAACCTTTACTGGCAACAGGTGGGAATCATTCTCAAAAGGCAGTGTTGCGTTTAAAAAGCAATTTCTCAATACAGCCCACCCCAAAAAACGACATCCCCTGAAAGACAAACTGCAGGGTTTTCAGAGACATGTTGTTGCAATCAGATGGTAAGTAGAGCTTGACTAATAGTATAAAGAGAGAAGGAAACAACCTGGAAGACAATGTGAAAATGTTGCCCTGATGTCTCTCTAAATGCTCCACTTGAGATTGTGTAGGGGAAGAAACCACAAGAATGTGTCTGTGCCGCTCTCAGCACCCGTAGACTCTGGCAGTGGATTAAGCAAGAAAACACTTCCCACACAGGAGAGCTGCTCGTGATCAGGGAGGCAGTGTGAGGAAGAAGTGAAATGGAAAGACGGGTTGTCTTTAATACCTTTTTTTTTAAAGTCAGATCCACCGATTACAACAGTAGTAGCCTAAGTATACATTTCCAAGATTACATTTTTTTTAAGTCAAAACAGCGGATAAATTCTTATTCAAACATTTAATCGTTTACAATAAAACTACTTGTGAAATTAATCTTAGTTTTTAGGCATAAAATGCAGCTTCTCTAAACGCCTTTGTAAGGTCAACGGGACAGTCTCAGTTCCCACCAAAATCTAATTATTTAATCCGAAAAAGGAAATATACATGTTTAAACAAAGAGATCCTACACTATTTAAATTGAAAAACTAAATATTTTTATGATTTTAAAAAATACACTAGTAGTATCAATTTATTATAAAAAGGTAGTGTGGCTCGGCTGTCTGGATATTAAATAATATATTGTCATGCTGTCGGCCTCCTTGGATACAGGTTTATAGTCTCCGTAATGCTATACAGATTGAACTGACGTTTTTAAAAAAAAACAAAAAAACATTATGTTTATTTATTTGTTTGTTAACTCCCTCACTTTTACGCACCATGCCTTAAATTAAACCTCACATAAAAAGTACCCTTTTAAGATTGACTTGGAAAAAGACATTTAAATACCTCACACGTGCCACCTGTAACACAGTTTTTCCCATACTAATAGAGTGAAAGTAGTAGGCTACTTACTGTAGGAGACAGTGTCCGCGCTCCTCCCGCCGCTCTTCGCCCTGTTATTCAGGGTGTTGTTGTTGTTGTTGTTGTTGTTGTTGTTGTTGTTGTTGTTGTTGTTATTGTTGCCGTTGGCCGTCTGTAATATCGTCTCGAGAGGGGTCCGACTGTTTTCTCTGTACTCCGGTAAAATCTCCGTGCCATCGTTCTTTAGTACCTTCCATCCCTTCACGGCGGTGCAGCATCCCTGCAGAAGCAGCAGCGCGAGGCTGGAGACGAGGAGGGCCAGAGACACCTGCATGCTGGAGGCTCGGCGGCAAAAGTGAAGAAGCACGAGGAGGATAAAAATGTTACGCACCAGAAAGAGCGAGATGATGCCCTCTCGGATACGTCGGTCAGTTCTACTGTCAATGCAGGAGGCGCACGCGGTATTTAAGCCTTAGCGAGTTCTCGTCCAAGATGACAATTAAGCCTTACACGGAGTGGGAGGGGCTGAAGCTGGAGTGAGACTCATTGAGAAACTAGGAGGAGAGGGAACAAGACGAGGGGATACAATAGGGGAGAGAGAAAAGTGAGGGAAGGAAATATAATGATAAAGTTAAATAGAGAAGTTGACGGAGGAAGGAGAAGGAGAAACAGACGAGAACAATTTGGAAAAAGAGAAGAAAGTGGAAAAAGAGAAGAAACTGGGGAAAATGTAGGAAATAGAGGGCGGAGGAGATAGAGGGCAAAAGTGAGGAGAGAAGGGTGAAAGGAGGGAGAAGTATAGAGTAAGAAAAAGAGAGGGGTAAGGTGAAATGAAAGGAGAAAATAAAAAGACGTAAAAAAGTAGACGGGGAAAAGAGAGATGATAGAAAACAGAGGAAAATGAGCCGGGAGCTAAAGAGGTGAGGAGATGAGAAGTGATAAAACAAGAGAAAGGTTAGAGGTCAGAGGAGGAGAGAACAAGAAGAGAGGGAGTGTGGGGGAAAAGAAAGGACAGAAGATAAGATGAAGAAAATTCAGAAGGAAAATGGAGATGTAAAATAATAATCAAGAGGGACATTTGAGGGGAGATCAGAGAAAATGTAACAGAAGTTTACAAAGACAGTGGAAAAAGAGAAGAAGAGCACATTTATTGTTGGAGGCAGCGGATGTGCATCTCACTGTGTTCGTGTTGTTGTTGGACTTAAGTTTACAAAGCTTCTTCTCCCCCTCCTCCTTAATGATTTCCGGAGCATTACGTGTTTGAAAAGCATTTAGGGCGTTTGTGAGGTGGTTTATTTTTGGACTGCTGTCTCATGCGCCTCACACTCCTCCTGCATCCTGCTCTGTTCCTGATACAGGGCAGAACACAAGTGAATCATTAATCCCTCACGTTAATTATCTATCATTACAGCTCTGTGTAGGGACATCAAACCATAATGAAATGTTCTATATCAAAAGCCTCCGCTTTTCAGATCTTCATCAGCTCTTAAATCCTGCAATTAGACAGTGTCATGTATATTGTACACATGTATCCATGTATGTCATTTACATCAAACATTATCTTTGTATCTGGTTTGAATATTATGGACTGAAGACTGCATGTACGCTCTTCTCAAAGTTCTTGGCATGCATCTCATTGCAGTGATGAGTGCTGACAGATGGAGGCTCTTTTATTCAAACACTGCCCTCTTGAGGGGGAATAAACAAGGCTTGTGAAAGGAAAATATGTGATTATTGTGTTAATTAGCATCACACTGCTTTTTTGCAGGAGCAGCATGGGCATTCAGAGACAAGTCATCTTGGAAGATAAACAAATAAATGATGAGGAATGTATGTTGCCTTCGTCAATGTCACTGCTTTGACACATCTCGCACCCATTCATTTGAGGCACAGCGAAGCTTCCATAATAATATGTCACGGTACATCTACTTTTATACAAGCCTTAAATCAGAGTTTTGTAACGCCGTAGCCAATTGGTTGTCCATTGCAATTCAAAATGATGGACATTCTAGGGGTAAACACTTCATTATAAAATGATATTGTAAGATGAGGTTTACAACATCATTCTCTTCTATAAAAAAAGACGTGTGACAACACTCTGTGATCAGATGTAAAACTGATTAGGTCAAATGAAACTCTTTTGAAGTTCAATGACCCCTTTTGAAGTCCTATCTATTATAATTTGCATCAACAGCACCTAACAGAAGAGTATCCTCTGGTGTAAATGAGCCTTCTGTTATTCTGCAACGGTTACCATCAAGTTTAAAAAATGACAGGATACTGTCCGTACTGTATGTGTGCTACGGAGAGTAAATGTTTTGGCTGCAATATTATATGTATATGAATATGTATTTGTTTTTGGCAACTTAAGAACAGCATTCATTTGGATACGCAATTTTGAATGCAAGTACTTTTTTCACTCTCAGTTTTGGTCTCTGAGGGAATTAGCTCTTTAGCAGTTAAAGCTCACCTGTGTTCACAAGCTAGCCTACTTTGCCTGACTGTCGATTGGTGATAGGAAGGTAGTTGACTGAAAACAAGAATGATGAGAGCAGGATTTATAGGCTACAAAACCTAAACAATGAGCTAAGAGACGAGCATCCATGTCTAGTAATCAAAGACTTGCATTGTAATGTGCATTTTTTGAAAAAGTTATATTTATTTCTTGTAATATGGACATGTTTTCAGTAATTCTTCAGTTTGTGTTGTTGCAGTTGAAGACTGGAGGAAGTGACTGAAGTATAGGGTTACCTTTCTTTTAGCTCTTGTAAGTGATTGCTGCAAGTTAAAACATTAATTGTGTAGCTTTAGGTGCCTTAAGAGGATATATCATTAAAAACTAGAGACAGGCGCAAAATGGAGCATTTCAGCCTATGGGTGAATACAAGAATATTCAGACAGTATAAGCAAAATAATGTGTTCTTTGAATTTAAGAGCATGTACACACACTAGTATGAACCCAAAAAACCAGTATGCGCCTGAAAATGACCATCCTATGTCCTCTTTAAAGTTTAACATTATGAGAAACAACGCTATGTTTTAGTTTATTATTCGTATCCAGGAAAGTCCTGTCCAATTTATTCATGTTCACACGTATTATTAGGGCTGTTTTGACCAGTGGCAAATTCTGAAGTCAAACATGATTGTCATTCATAAGCCAAGAGCTCTTAAAGTAACCAGAGCAGAGAGCCATGTCTTTCTATTGTGTTACAGCTCTGAGGCTGTGCCAGGTTTTTTTAGTGAGCGATGGATGGCCCCACTGTCTACACAAAAAGCCAGCTGTGATTACAGTCTTCTTGTCAACGTCGCGACCGATGTCAGTCACAGTCTCAATTTAGACCTTTCTTTATAGAGCCCTTGGGCCCCAGCACAGTGTTTTTATCATGATAACAGTACAGTGAGGCCCAAATAACATTCAGATGCTCCCCAGATTGCAAGAAAGCCTCCAGCAGTGCAAAGGATGGCAGGGCGTTATTTAATGGAAGTGGAGAAAAACAATGTTTTCAGTCCATGAACGAAACCATCTCAGCTCCTTGTGTTCCGTTTGGTTGCATGATTCATTGTACAAGATTGTAAACTGCTTGAACACACAGGTTAGAAACAAACAAGCCAGTGAAAGTTAAGCAGGAGGTTTTGTGACTGTGCCGTGTTTTTAAAAAGTCTGCAGTGTTCGACTCCTGAGTTTGAGAGGGGTGAATTATTCATAATGTGTCCACCATAATTATGTAAAGTAGGTTCACGTTCAGCGTTGGCTTTCCACATCAGTCCCCTAGACAGATTTAAAGTGAAAGCTTTATGATTGCGAGTGGGACTGAACATGTGGAGCAAATGGTGACACATTGCTGCGACGTGCCACATGTTAGTCAAAATTCCTCATAACATAAGTGCAAAGTAGGGCTAAAGAACTTTTTTTGGTACCAAAAAGTTTCCGCAGCAACAAGTATGGAATTATGTTAAATATTTTAAACTTGGCATTTCAAATTCTGATCAGATATCCATAAGATTAATTCTCTTAACAATTACAGACTATTCAGGTACATTCTTGTACAGATCATTTACCAAGCACTTTACATTAGAGTTGCTCAATTCGTTAAACATTAAAGTGAAGTTGTTGTAAAAAATATGGTTTTCATTTTTTGGTATCAATATCATAACTCACTGGCAGTGGAACTCGAACCATCAATCAATCAACCAATGTTTATTTATATAGACCAGGGGTCGGCAACCCCTGGCACGCGTGCCAGCATTGGCACGCGGCACCGTAACCAGTGGCACACTAGGAATAAGTGGAATAAGTGTGCAAAAATATTTAAATTGTATTTTCGGATCCTGAACGAGACCGCCACCAGAGCGCGTCTCCCCGTTACCTGCAGAAGGAAGCCATGCACGCAACGCAGCCCCGCTCTCTTTATCTCCAGGTGACTTTCTGCCGCTTTCCTCCGCGGTGCAGTGCTGATCGTTTCACCACGGAGGAAAGCACTTCTCTAATTGCAGTACCCATAAGGAGCTGTACAAATGCCGCAGTTTTTGCGTGGCTGT